TGGTATTTCCTCACTTCTACTGCGATTGAACTACTACGGCGTTCAGTCGAATTCATCCAATCTAAAATTGGTCTAAAATAACTGAAAATGGCAATGAGGCAGAGTAGAGAAGTTTTAAGAGGACCAACAACAGACCTTGCCGTATCTGTTTCCCCTTGACAAAGTTAAGGCGATGCCATGTACTACAGATAAGAGGACCATTGAAGTATTCCATGGATCATAACTCAAAAGAAATACTCCAAACATGCTCTGAAAATATGTTGCCTGAAACGACTCTCTTCACAAATCAATACGTTGTCGGTCTATTCACAGTTTTGTTGACGAGAAACCTTTGAAAGCAAATCCTTTTCTTATGCAAACGCTTTTTGTGCTCGGTAATTATCTAAGCACTAAGCAGTGTCCGGTATGTCATCACAACAAGGAGGAATTATTAATGTTTCCACGGCAACCAGGGTTTATTCTCATTACACAAAGTTCAGAGAGAAAGAGCCAAAATACTTCTGTGTGTGTTGGAGAAATTAACAAAGCCCCGTCGTGCTCACATCATCTGTCTGAAGAGCTTTACTGATCCTATTCAGACACTAAATAACCCCGTCACACAAACAGGAAAAAGTTCAATAATTTAGATTTAAATCAGAACGATAACAAAACATTGTACTATCAGAAAATGTACTTTATTTTTGGCAAGGCAAGTTTATTTGTATAGCACAATTCATACACAAGGCAATTCAAAGTGCTGAACAGAACAAGAAAGCATTAAAATCATAAATAATCACAGTACATTAAAAAAAAAAGATACAAATATAAAATCCCTCAGCTGTATGCACAGCTAAACAGAACTGTTTTCAACCTTGTCTTAAACATTGTCAGAGAGGAGGCCTGTCTCACATCTTCAGGAAGACTGTTCCAGATTTTAGCAGCATGAATCTGAAAAGCAGCCTCCCCATGTTTAGTTCTGACTCTGGGCACTAACAGGAGTCCAGTCCCTGTGCTCCTCAGAGTCCGGGCTGGTTCATATGGGACTAACATGTCACTAATATAGTTTGGTGCGAGGCCATGAAGAGACTTGTACACATTTGTATTATTTATGGTAAATTGGAAATATTCTGACACATATTGTGATAATATTTACATTTTTTTTTCAGTGTGGATTATCTTTAGAGTTCATACAACAAGAAAATTATGAAATGATGAGCTGAGACATGATCTCCACAAATATGTATTAACTGCAACAACAATAAATCAATTATAACCAATACCTAAATAACTTCTTTAGAATACATCTTTCATGTGTCCCCAGATAATAAGTATACATGTACAAAACATATTTGACATTTTTTTTAACAAATATTTAAATTGAGTAATTCTTTATTAAACATACAATAGGTTTTTTTTCTCTAATAATTTTTATTTCTTATATAACAAAACTAGCACAAAAAATATCACCGCACATAAAATTAAGTAGTCAAGCACACACATAGTCTGTGTATATTTTCTGTAAACAAAAGTCAGATTGTAATTGTCATGACTTTATAAAATCACTAAGAGTGGATCTGACTTACACAAATGCACCCATGACTTACAGTAATTCATACATAAATGCATAATTAAGAAGTTACAACGGAACCAGCACAAGACGTATCGTTCTACCCCAAATAGAAAAAGGCTGTTTCTCACTTGGGATGTGATAACAACATCTATCGTAGTTAGTATAGGAGGAAATGATACCAAAACCATTTGCAAATGATAATGTAGGGCCAAAGAATTCAAGTTTGTTCTTGCGTCTTTGCAGAGGATTCAGATTCTTGTTTTATTTTCATCTTACTTGAATGGGGCAGTGTGCAGAAATGAACCTTTGGCTAATTTCCATGCTTTTTCCCACAGATGCACTGACAAACACAAACTCATTTACCTTGAACTATGCTTTATGCTTTTATAACCTATACAGACATGGGAAGAACATGCAAACTCCACACAGAAGGGTCCCAGTGACAACAAAAATTAGTATTGGAATAGCCCTATATTGTTTAAAATTATCACCAAGGTATAAATATTTGTATGAATTAAATAAAACAATTACTGTACATCAACATTGAGTTTGTAAATATAGATTTGTGACAATACTGAAATGTACTATAATTATGTTTTTGTTATTCCTCCCCCCGCATACAGCGTCTCCGTGTGGATGTGTGTTAGCCAGGCACAGAGCCACCTGTACCGCTGATCCTATTACAGGCCACAAATGGGATATAAAACACATCACACCAGTGCATTCCAATAAAGAGCCACTGCTTTGCCGATGACGCCACCGAGAATCAAGGTTAGCACTTAAGAGGCGTACGGGGCCGAATGAGCCATGTTTTATGGATGTAAGATGAGGATGGTATCAGTGGCAGATGAAGGGAAATACTGTAAATATTCTTGAACTCTGTAGAATCTTATTATTACGCAGTACCTTTTGAAAGTACTAATATGCCTTGAACTTGTATCCATTTTGTTGCGCTTTCAACCATAAACATAATGCTTTTATTTAGATTTTTCTACTGCATGTTCACACCCACGTAGCAGACACTCTGGAGCTTGATTGATACGTTTTATATATTGTTTTTTTTGTTTTATTTGGTTAGGTCCCATCGAATCACATGTTCCCTTGGACAATATGCATCTGCTGTGCCATGGTCACACACTTATTTACCATGGACTACTACTGTGCAGTGGTAGGGGAAATCCTAGTCCAACAACCGAAGCACCCGGTTTCCTCCAATAAAAAAAAAAAATTAAGTGACAAGGCTGTTTCCTAAAAGTATGCGCACTCCTTCAAAGAGAAAAAACCATGTCCTGAATATTAAATACATACTCCAATGCATTCTTATGGCTCTGTGTGGGCCGGTTCTAATACTAACCAAATATCATCCTCGAGGCCAAGATAATCTATTTATGGGCCGGATCTGGCTTTGACACCCATCCCCTAAAACCACCAAAACAAGAGCTACATTGGACCTAAACCAGGACTGACCATGAGGACACAGTGCTTGTTGACATATGCCTTCACCCTGAGTTGACATTCACAAGTGCTGCTAATGTGATCGCCGATATGGAAGTACCGATTAATATTATGGCACAGCTCCATGATCAGTTACTACTGTGATATGACATCTCTGGAGAATGTCAGGACACAGACACCCCGTGGAGCTGCACTTGTGTCGAAGAAAAATCTGATATCTTAAAGTCCGTAGCAACAAAGCCCCCACTTCCGCCACTGAGTTTTTCACCATCACAGGGAAGTACGTCAAATTTACTAAACTCATGCGGCTGAATTTTAGTGTCGGCGATGGAAATGCACCCTAGCAGATGTACTATAACAGCCAGGCAAGACAAGGCAAGGTAAGTTTATTTATATAGCGCAATTCATACACAAGGCAATTCAAAGTGCTGAACAAAATAAGAAAGCATTAAAATCATAAATAATCACAGAACATTAAAAAGAAAGCTAAAAATATAAAATCCCTCAGTTGTATGCACAGCTAAAGAGAACCAACCAGCTATACTGATTAATTATTGCATATTATGTACAAGCATTTTGTCTGGAGAGAGACAAATTGAACACTCGTGCAATTAATTTCCATATTGGTTCTCCTTCACCAAAAAGAGAAGGATATTGTATATAATGCACGAAATGCACACCATTTTCTGTGAAGGCTATAAGTGGGACATCGTTTCAGAATATTGAGACTTGACATATTCACTAAACCACTGCCACATCCCTGAGCAGGACATTGACGTAAATGACAATGTATAGAAATGTTCCAACACCCACAAGTACCATAAACAACAGGAGAGGCGTTTGCATTTCCCTCAAAGCCTTTTTTAGCTATGTGAGAGAGAGGACTAGAACTTTAATCTATTTTCTTTTCTTGTTTCTACAACAGAAGATTACAATTCTAAATCAGTGTCGCTCTGAGCTGAGGCTTTATTCCAGACTTGTAAAAGTGTATTTGTAAAAGTGACAAAGTGTGGGAGCAGCCCCTTAAAGCTGCCTGTTTACACACGTCTGTATCGTAACGAGACATTCACTGACTATAGTTTATCCACCTCGTTATTTAACACCCAGCCGAGAGGGAATGTGTTTGCCTGTGTGTCTGCGTGAGTGAGTGTGTGTCTGTGCAAGAACTACTGGATGGATTGAGCTGAAAATGATAAGTGTGTGGACGAGAAGTGATGGTAGGAAGTCCCCAATGATTTTGGGACAATCAAAATAAAATTTATAAAATTTAAACAGCAAATGAAAAATTGATAATTTGCCTCTTCTTATTGCCAAATGTAAAACTTTTACATTTCTTTTATTATTATTTTCAAGATAGAGATTTCATACTGTTATTGATGCTAGAGTTAGAGATTTTGTTTTATTTGTATTAGTAAAGCTATTGTTCACTTAACCTACTGTTCTATAACTTGGGACGAATAAAGGATCTCGTAATCTTAATCAAATATTTGCACTAAAACCAGTGAATTATCAACAATATAACAGGTTCCACTACCAGTGCAAAACAGTGCCTTTTTCTGTTTAAAATCAGCCTGGTAAAAGCAGCCAGATGCCAAGTCATACAAAATGGTATTCGTACTGAATATGGGCATGCATAGAGTTTCTAAGAATGCGCTAAATTGGAACATTCCATGATCTGATTGCCTTTCGGTATGTCTCCCATGTTAACGAACAAGAGTAGAGCACCATTAAGAACCTGAAACTATGAGAAATGATGATTAAAGTTCAGGTGGCACAGCTGCTGTGCTGTGGGGAGCTGAACAGGAAGTGCAATTAGAGTTAAAACGACTAGGATTCGAGAAACTTGTCTATGGGAACAAAGTATAATGAGATTAGAAAGTGGAAGCCCTAAACAGTCTAATTCCAAGAAACCTCACGTCACCCCAGGAGCCGGGTCCGTGTATGCAAGTATATGGAGGCCAGGCCCTGTGGTCAGTCTGGACCAGCAATGTGGGCGATGGTTCCTGAGGGTTTTGAGGGGTTGATTACACAGAGGACTGAGCAGTGGTCCAAGACAGAGGCCTGGGCAGTGGTCCAAGACAGAGGCCTGTGGCGTGGTCAAAGACAGAGGCCTGGGCAGTGGTCCAAGACAGAGGCCTGTGGCGTGGTCAAAGACAGAGGCCTGGGCAGTGGTCAAAGACAGAGGCCTGGGCAGTGGTCAAAGACAGAGGCCTGGGCAGTGGTCAAAGATATAGGCCTGGGCAGTGGTCAAAGATATAGGCCTGGGCAGTGGTCAAAGACAGAGGCCTGGGCAGTGGTCAAAGATAGAGGCCTGGGCTCTGGTCAAAGACAGAGGACTGTGGCAGTGGTCAAAGACAGAGGCCTGGGCAGTAGTCAAAGACAGAGGACTGTGGCAGTGGTCAAAGACAGAGGCCTGGGCTGTGGTCAAATATATAGGCCTGGGCAGTGGTCAAAGACAGAGGCCTGGGCAGTGGTCAAAGATAGAGGCCTGGGCTGTGGTCAAAGACAGAGGCCTGGGCTGTGGTCAAAGATAGAGGCCTGGGCTGTGGTCAAAGACAGAGGCCTGGGCTGTGGTCAAAGATATAGGCCTGGGCTGTGGTCAAAGACAGAGGACTGTGGCAGTGGTCAAAGACAGAGGCCTGGGCAGTGGTCAAAGATAGAGGCCTGGGCTGTGGTCAAAGACAGAGGACTGTGGCAGTGGTCAGAGACAGAGGACTCGACCCAGTCCACATGTGGTTGTGGGGACATGGCGAGTCACCGGAAGAAACCGGAGCTCGTGCAGGGGTTGTTGAACTCGGGGTAAAAATAATAATTACAATAACTAACCATAATGACTGATTTTTTTATAAAAACACAACATTACTGGTGTGAAAAGAACACTTATTTCACTGCCTTGCATAATATTCTAAGTTTATCATAGTTAAAAGTGAAATTCAACTTGTTTTTTTTCATCAAAATGCACTTTTGTCCTTGAGAGAAATGTATGAACAGGCTCAAAATCATGAAATGTTTATGGTGTATTTCAAGGCTGGACCTCATCAAATATTTAGTCAAAACTAACCAACAATTTCAATCAACCGGTAGGAAATAAACGTGTCTTTTAAATGTTGCAAAAATACGATTGTATAGAAGGGATTGCCATGTGCAGCTTTTACTGATCTTTGCTTTGGCTCCTTCGACCTAGAAATTATTCGAATTTCTATTCTGCTTTCCATGCATCTGTTATCTACATGAGCGACTGAAACTAGAAAGTAGCTGGAAAGTTAAAAAAACCTCCGACTTGTACACATACAGAAGCACACGGAGCATCAGCTATGAGCCTGCACGTGACACACTTGCCCTCAATATTCCTCTGTTTCACGCTTTTCTGACAAAAAAATACTAAAACAAGAGCAGTGAACTATTATAACATTCAATTTGATTTCAGTTGCAAATCGGCAGTCTAACTTTTTTTGTCTTAATAATCAATGAAGGTTCCAATTACGGAAAGAATTTCAACTTTTTAAACCAGAAAGTCATACAGTGAGCTTCCCTGAACCCCTTAACGTGCACATTTAGAATTTTGGTATATAGTTTATCTTTGCCTCTGTCTTGTCAAGAGCAATGAAGCAGTCGGCACCAACTTCCAGGTTCACAAGACAGACAGTATTCTATTCAAGTCTGTATTCTGCATTAATACATTTGTGCACCATTTATCCCACCGGCAACAGAAGTTAAAAGGGTCTCCAGAATCTCACTGAAAACTGAACGGGCCCTAAAATTACACTCAAGTATGGACCATAGCAGTTCATAATCGAGCAAATAGCTTCCACCTTAATGAAACTTTATTGAGAGCTCCTTTCTATGGCTTTTCGAGTGCGTGTTGAACTTTTCTTTGACAACCGTCGCGTCTCCGCTCTAATATCCAGCAGTTAGAGATATATTCATTTGACACTAATTGAAATGTCGGAGACAAATTGAAGGTTGAATAAGTCTGGTCTCATTTCAGTGCAGTTATTTTTAGCCAAACTGCCTTGGTTTCTCAAACAAATTAACTTCAAGTACCTCCTCATCGATCTGCTGTTCAGACATAAACAGGACTCTGCAGTGGCTAAAACTGTTATACCTTCCCAGAGCGCTGAACTGCAGTGTCCTTGGGCAAGACATTTAACGGTGTGCAAAAGAAATAGCATTTTCAAGCTACATAAAAACCATTTAAGTATTGTAGTTCTGTGCTTTCTTTCAAAACAGTTTTGTTCTAGCTACAGTTATTGCAAGCATGCATTTCTCGTAGGGCTGAGAAAACTAATTTTAATACCCATCCATCCATCCATTTTCTACCCTTTAATCCATTTCTGGGTCAGGGGGGTGGCAATCAGAGTTGCCACCCAAGTCTCATAGCACCAGCCCCTCACTGACCCTCTGCAGGTGGTGAGTCCACAGGAGGACGGCTGCTCTCTGAGTGTGAGCATAGCCTTGATCTTCCAGCGGGGGCTTTGGGCAAAGTGGTGTTAAGTGTCTTGCCCAAGGACACAACGAGAGCAGTCATCAGTGGGAGTCGGTGGAGAAGGTGTAGAGGTGGGAATTATAATAATCGTTTTTTTTAAGCACTTTTTTTGACAATAAAATATAGATCACAACTAGATCACAAACTACTACTGTAGGTACAGCTGCCTCGGGGCACACTGACAGAAGGGAGGCAACCAGTCCGGGTCATCATACTGTCCGACCACCATCAATCATTAAAACACTCACAGACACTAGACTCATTCTAGGAAATATAGATGAAATGTCTTGCCAACAAGGCACTTTACAGCCGCAGCCGCCCCACTATGGCACATGAGGTTGCCAGAGGTCTCCCATCATGGCACTAGCCCAGGCCCAGCCCTGCTTAGCTTCGGAGGTCTGATGACTTAGATAATTAACCATAGACTGGAAGAAAGGGATTGTCCCAGGTGAGCTCCAGGTGTGTCCCAGTCTGTAGTTCAATGAAATTAAATTCAATCAATTCTTGTATGGCTATAAGTCACGACAATAGTGAGCTCGGAGGACTTTACAAAACCGTTTAATTTTTCAAAACAGACCAGAGAATCAAACAATTCAATCACAAGAAATGCAATGATTTAAAAAAAAAGTTATAATATGGTGATGATAATGGTGATAAAAAGTTAATGGTATTGATATTTCCATTGGTCCATAAGGGGCAGATGACCATTGTCTATACATTTAAATCAATAAATGTTCTTAAATGTTGAGTGTCCTGGATCATCACCACTGCGCTTTGACCCTTCTGCATGGGGAAGGTAAAAAGAGCCCTTCCCACTGTCCCCCCTCTGCTCCCGTCAGTCACGGTGCTGCTAACTCTATAGGGTCTGAATTGATACATACTTGGTGAGTTCGCTGTCACTCAACAAGCTGCTAACAAGAAGCAGAGATGAGCTCAAAAACAACAGTTCAGTGACAAGAAAACCCATTACTGACTGTGATTCCATGACACCGTTGGATCATGTCGTGAGTGTTGAGGCTGATGGAGTGCCTGCTGAAGCTTGAACCACCCAGAGCTCATCTGCACATCAGGCTGACGAGAAGCCACCGGAGAAGCTGGTTTGTCGTGTGACAGCCGCAGCCCGTTTGTAAACTGCTCGGAGGATGGAGCGCTCGCTGTTCCCTGCATATGGCGTGCTGGTCCCAGTCTGTGTGTGGCACATGTGGTTGCAGACTTTTCATGCTGCCGTAGTTAAAGACGTGTGAGCTCGGAAATATCCTATGATACAGTATGTCAGGCAAGCTAAGCACCCTGCCTTTGCCATAGACGTTTTGAGCCTGTCTCATGGAGCTATAATCATATCTGCATAGGGTATAACCAGCTTATAGCTGAAGGACCCATGTGCTCGGGGGCTTCCCACGGTACTGCACAAAAATAAGACAAAATTCACGTGGGCTACCCATAATTTTCCCCATAAAACTCAATGCAAACTAAAACAGCTCGACGTCAGCTGAAGGAGAACCCACATCTTTCATAAAGGTGGGATTTTGTGTCACAGGTGTCCCTTGTCATCCTGAACTTTTGTTGTTGTTAAATCCATCGGTTTTCTTTAAATTCAAAGAAAAATGCAAAAAACTAGGATGGCCATAGAAATGCGCAAATATGGATGGGCTCCACCCACTAATCTTTCTGTGCCATTGATTTGAAAACGCTGCAATCTTTGATCGCCAGGGCTTGGCCTTTCTGTATTATATTATAAGTCTTTATACAGTATATCAAAAACATTTTAAACAAGTAAATTTGTTTTTATTTCAGACAACTAACAAATTAGTCTGATGACTAAAATTGTAATACATTTAGTTAGTTTAGTCAAATGATTGAGACCAAATTAAATGTCTTTGGTAAAATTAATATTGATCTCTGCAATTTTTTGTTTAACTAGAATAATCATTTTGTTACGTACAAACAAATATCAAGTAATCAACCAATAGTGATAGATTGATACGGGTTGATATATCAACAACCAAAGGATACAGTGATACAAAAGTGTAAATAGTTGTTTTTAATTTTCAGCCTCAGAAAAAAAATAACTTTGATACCTCGCATTGAACGCCATAAACAGAAGCTACATCTCTGGTTGTGGGAAACATACACTATTCCTCTTACAGAAGTCTCCCTCTCACAGAGAGCTCTGAGATCAGCTCTAAAGATGTGCCATGACTCTCTGCTCATGTTGGTTTGCTTTATCTCTACAGTTTATATCTATACCCAATCATTTTGAAAATATGTGTGGAGCAACATGGGCCATATATTAACAGAGAAATAGATAATGATGTTTGTAATGCAATAGCCCACTATACTTGTTCAAATGCAGATTTCACTTTCATATTAATTCAATCATATCCATGTTGACAGATTAGACTCCCACACCACTATGTTTCAAACAAACATTTCAACTAAAGAGATTTCTGCTTTTTTTATGTTGTATCTGCTAATTGCTAATCAGCCACGCTGTCTGCAAAACGCTGCTTTCCCCAGAGCCTTATTATTTAGTACGTCCATCTATGATGCGCTTCTCTTTTAGCCCTGTTACAAACTGGTTCAAGCTTGAATGGAATACTGATGAAAGTCCTCTTATTACTGTACGATTATAAACTCACTAATGAGTCTAATCGGTGGAGCTGAGGACTTCTTTCCTCCCATCTCATCTGTAACAATGCAAACATAGCCGCGGATTCTAAGAGTGTGTCAAGTGCATTGATCCATTTCTCAGTAGAGCAGTAAAAAAGACAAAAAGCAGAAACCACCAGAGCAGAAGTAAATAATGACGCAGAGGCGCAGAGGAGGAATCTGGTGTTGCTTTTCACGGTTTAGTTTGTCGCTGGTGTTGCGTTTCATAAGCTCTGGCTATAGTTCATCCATGTTTTGATCTCCTCAAGCAAACAGGAAATCAGAAAGATGTTAAAAGGCTGTAGGTGGTAGAAAGGTCAGCACTAGATCATATACGGAATCGGGACGGAAGCGGAAGTAAAAATAACAAACAACCTATTCATGCCTAAACTTAAACAGCCATTCCCATAAAATAACCCCAACCCACCCTTAACCCTAACCTTAACCATCTTAATCAGACGCCTAAAACTTAACCAGTCAGCACTTAAGGACAAATTAGTCTAAAATCAATTTGAAAGTAGGATTGTTACTTCTGGTTTCGTCCTGATTCCGTGTATGATCTAGTGCCAACCGTGGTAGAAATGGTTACGGTTAGGTGTCTTGTGTGGGGTAGAAAGATGGATAGAGTCTGGTGTGTACGTGCGTGGTTGGCTGATGGCACATACAGT